GGTCTCCCCCGGAATGTTCTCACCCTTTGGTTTCAGGTTCCCTGTAGCTCCGTTCAGAGGCTAGGTCATTGACAACTAGGACCTACCGGATTGTGCACCATCATGAACGAATGATTATAAATAAATCATGTATCATTTTTAATGTAATCTGTTGAAACTTTGATGTAAAGTGTCGTAAAAATTTCAAAATGCACCATAATTGGACCAAACAAACATTAGATGAAATGGCATTATTCTTAATGTTTTAAGAGTTTTTTTTTTTTTTTGGATTCAAATCCTTAAATATATTTTCCAAGTTAAGCCAAAAATTGGGAAACTCAGGGAAATGATTTAATTTCAAATAAAAACTAACTTTTTTTTTTTTATTTACACAAAAAAACTTTGCTACTGAGATTATGGTCTCACATCAGCGTATAATTCCAATAGTAGGTTCTTTGGAGTAAATCTGGACTGGTGAAAACTAAAGCATAATAAAGAACCGATAATGGAAAAAATATGACATGAAAAAGATTATTTAAAATTATGTTTCAGAACTCAAGAGTTTAGATTAGATAAATGCAAATATGGCATTATATCGGAATACTCATCATGTACATGTGACACAGTAAAACAAAAATAGCATATATTCATGTATCTTCATTTAAATCCACAATTCATTGTTTATACTTTTGGTGAATCATAATTCCATTGTTTATATGGGAATAATTCTGAACCTCTTAGTGAAATATGAGGGAGATTCAAGAATAGCAATAATTAACCATACAAATGTGTTTTCTTGTTGTACCAGAAATTCTGTGGACAGGCTTGTATATTTTTAGCACTTGATTTTATTTTGGTGATTTGAGTGATTTCCAAATAAGAGGTTCGCCACACAGAAAATCTGTATTATCAGATAATTTTCAATCATTTTATCTTTACTGTGTTCTTATGAGTATTTTAGAAATTGTAGACAGTTTAGATTTAAAATAGCTAATTTATAGTACTTTATATCATTAATTTTCTGAGATCTGGAAACATCTCCCCAATGTATGACACAGATGTTTCCAATGTACAACTACTAAGTATTGTAAGGGGTGTTAGGACCAATTTTATGAGGACAAAATCCGGATTTTAATTTGATTTGCACTGTCTTTTAGTATACATGCATGATCGGTTAAAACCCATCAATTGGTTCCTAAATAATAAGACAAATCGAAATAAGCTTATTTAAACCCGTTAAAAAGTAAGATTGTTTCAAATCCATATCTAATTCAACCATAGCGGATTGGATTTAGATCACCTTAATAAGCATCAGTTTCCAATTTGGGCAATACTTACAGCTCTATCTACAATGGTCATTACGACTGTTTGGCAGAAAAGGAGAAAGAAACGAAAGAAAGTTCTTTAGGGCTGTGTTTGGTTGCAGTGCAAATTTATTTGCACTAGTACAAATTGCATGGGGTGCATATGTAAAAAATGCAAATTCTTGTTTAATTTGTTTTAAATTTTACTTTATTCTACTTCATGTCTTAATTTACTTCATTTGTATTGTAATCAAACAAAATAAACTGAAATTTGAAACAAAAATAGGTCAGAATTTATACTCAAATCATTTGCACTGGTATGGTTTTGCATCAATGCAAATTTATTTGCAGTGCAACCAAACACAGTCTTAAGGATTTCTATGAACAAATGTAGCCTTGGGTAAAATGAGAAAGAAGAGAGAAGAAGAAAAAAAAGGAGAGAGAGAGAAAGAGAGAATTCGATAGTAAATAAGCAAATGAATAGAACACATATAAACAGAAATTTCAACTATAAATAATGGAGAAAGTAAAAGTGAGAAACCTCAATGCTCCTTAAATTTGCTTTCACTAAGTGCTATTCTCACCAAAGGTGGTCTCCTGATACCCGCTTGAGTTTAGTCTCTCTTCCACTCTAACTAACTTCTATTCTCTTTCCTTTATCAAAAAATCTCTCTCTCACACACATAAGCACCCAAATCCACACACCGTGGTGATGCTCGTATCTCAGCTATTATATGGCATCTAGAGCGGTCGTTGTTGTGTGCTTACTAGCTTTTCTTGGTCGGTCTTTTTTATTTCTTTCTCCATTTTAAGCTTTCCTCTTACCCTTTAATAATTAGTAGGGAGTAAAGGAAAAAAATGTTTGAGATGTACTTTTAAACCCGTCAAACTCCTGAACTGTTCTGTTCTTCCTTTAATTAAGGATCACTGATTCTCAAATCATATTTTGGATTAAGAGACGGTTTTTGTTTTTTGGAAGAAACAGAGTATGGTGCATATAAGAATGGGTATTCTTGGGTTTGATTGCATGTCAAAAGTAAAGGCTCCAAAATTGTTAAAATGTGTCTTCTTCTATAGTTTTGAGGTTTTGGGAAAGTCAACTAATTTGGAAGTTGTCAAAGTTCAAAATTTTAGAATTTGAAAGTTTATTTTCTACTGGGTTTCTTTGGAATGGAGAGCCTGTGTGGTTCAGGGACTAATGCGCATTGGTATTATCACCTTTACTATTTCTGCAATTTTGGCTTTAGTGAAGTATCATGGTTTTTTCACTTCTAGTTGGATTAGGTACACTCTAAGCCAGCAATCATTTTTGTCAATGACACCTTCAAGAGAAGAACGGAAGGCCATGTTAGTTCAAGAGATGAGGGAGGAAGAAGATGACTCCATCTGCAGGAAGAGATAGAGAACCTATGACCAAGCTCGTGCACCACCTGTTATTCTCTTACAAAATTTGAAGAATCCGTTTCATCAAAGAGATAAATAAGGGCAATATTGAAATTATGAAAAACTTAACACACACGTCTTCTGAAATCACGCACACAGGAGTTTTAAGTCAACTTGAAAAATTAGGATATGTTTCAGTATTTAGGCTATAACTCAGGCTTTTACATACATGAATGATGCAGAGCCACGACCCACGATTGACTGGACTCTGCAACTCAAAGCCACACAAAACAGAACGGTAGGTTCTCCATTCAGTTTTACCCTTCTTTGCATTGAGTCCGTATTGATGTTTATGTAGACTGGACCATAAGTAACCATTATTTGTACTGTAAGTTATCAACTACGAATAAACTATAATCGAAGCAAGCAACAATAACAAAGGCAAAGAAGGTCATACTCATACGTACCTCCGCACCTCATATTTGAATAAGGCTGGTTAGGGCAAAAACACATGGGCATCGACAAAGTCGAGTTGTACCCGCATTGCCCACCGGAATCCTCACATTTCCCACACAGATCATTGTACCCACTGTAGCTTACCTCAAAACCCTTTTCCAAAATCGTCGGCAGATTCGACAGAGTGGCCACGATTCCCTTAGCTTCGCTCTCAAGAACCGGAACCGTGACATTTGCATTGCATTCCTCAGCAGCTTGGCTCGCATCARGCAGGATGGAATTGGGTGTTACCAACYTATAAAATTCGCTATTCAGACCGTTGGTGGAACAACTATATTTGAAGGTAGGGCCCGGTGGAATTGAATTTAACCAATCTGAGGAGCAATTATAGTACAAGGTGAGGTTCACATCGGCGTCGGTATAGTTGAAGAAGACACCGAAATGGAGAGTGGTGGTTTTATAGAGTTGGTCCGGGCAGGTTTTATCCAGGAAGTCTAGTCTTGCTATCGT